GAGGTCCATTGCGCCAAAGAGGAGTACCTATCACAACACATTGTTCACAGTAAGAATAGAGAGATTAACACAAGATATTTAAATTGTGATATGCTTATGGATCTTGCAAAATGGCAAGAAACATTTGCCAAATTTATAGATATTTAAAGGGCCAATGCCTTGAGGGGAGAAAAAAAGTGCATAAAGAGTTTAGAATATTCTTAGCCAAGTTCAAACACAAAAACATCATCACATAAGTCTTCTTCAAATTATGGTCAAAAGGATAAACATCTTTAGTCTATCAAAGACAGACTTGTGTAATAATGAAAGTCAAGCGAAACTTGCATTTAGCCTCAAAAGATAATATTTGCAAATACCAGTTTAGAGCTTAAGGTTCGAAGCAATTTCCAAAAGACATTCAGGATTGATGCCCTTTCCTAACCCAAAGAAAACAAGGATTATCGTGCCTCCCGTGACATTTTTACTTGTGACATTTTTACACTCATCGATGACCAGAAAATTTCGAATTCCAGTGTCACAGTAATGGGTGCATACAGTAAGTTCAGAGACTATAAAACACTTCAAGTATTTGATTAATGGTGCACTAAATTTTAAACTCAGAAGTCATTCAGACTGTTTAAATCCAAATGATACTTATGAGGTTGAATTGCTTAAAATCTAATGAGTCAATACAATTAACTTCAAAATAGGATTGAATGATATCCAGAACAAGAGCGAATAATAACAAAAAAGGGGTTTAAAATGAACAAAGTGCAACTCTTAAAAAATGGTTCAGATTTGTATTGGAGTCCATTGGAGTTGAACAATTCCTATCAGTAAAGAACAAAATGTTTGGAACAAACATAAGAGTGCTTCCTTCTTTAACACTGAATTTTAAACCAATGCTTATTTAGGAACTCATGGCAATTGGCAGGTGCACCAGCAAAGGAACAAAACGATGATGTTGCAAGAAAATACATTCAATTCAATAGAAATGAAGAGAAATGAGGTTTGACTTCATTATTAAGCTTAAAAACGTCATTGGAGCAATGGGAAACCAATACCAATCAAATACTGAATCTAAAACTGCCAAGAATTCAACAGCATATGCAATTCCCAGTATCCATGCAATTCAGACTCATTTTCCCATGGGAGATACGCTCTAGATTTGAGCACTAACCTCAAGAGATATACAAGGTTGAAAGAAACAATAGAATTCAATACCAAACTCAAGTATATGGACTGAGAAAAGAAACACTTGTTGTTCTATATCCATATACAAACAGAATAACACAAAGAATAGAATGTATTCTAAGATTTATTATCTTTGTCCATATGATCTGTTTCTACATAGACATTCCCCTTCCAAATTCCAATGAAAGAATTATTTAGCCAAGCAAATATAAAAACTCATACACCAAAAACACTGATTTAAAGAAAAAGGTTGAACATTTACAATCTATCCCAGAACTCAAAATTCATTTCTTTCTAAAGCTTTATATATATATATATATATATATATATATAGTTAACTGGAGAAACAATAACTCACTTGTAACTCCACAGTGATAGCATGGACCTTGCTTGCCCATATCTCTCTTTTTCTCAAGGAAAGAAAAATGAATAAAAAGAACAGAATAAAAATTTGGTGAAAAAGAGAGTAAAAAAGATCTATTTATTGACAAAAACTTCTACTAAAAATTGAAAGCGCTTTATATAAATTTAATTGATTTCTTCAAGCTTTATATGACACATTCAACTGGTTATTAGAGGTTTTCCTGCAACAACACAGAAAGTAAATTTAGTTTGCAGAACAACACAAAATGAAAAATACCAAGAAGAGCTTTTATGTCCTTATAATCAGTCCAATAAACGTAAAAAAAAACAAGAGGAAGAAATGAAAGATTTTAGAGATGCGTATTGAGCGTAGAATTTGTGTAAAAAAAAGAAAGAAAAAAGGAGAAGACTATTGAGAGGAATCTAATAAATGGATGCGGAAGGAGGAAGGTTAAATGGGAAAGAGAAAGGAAAAGAAAAGGAGATATCAGTGTCTAGTGTGTTTTGTGTTTGTGTGCATTATATATTTTTTATATTAAAGAGAAAAATAAAAAGTAAAAACCAGATTTATTTCTTTTTGCGTTCTTATTTATGATATTATTTGTTAGCCAATAAGGTATTTGAGGTTTTGTAGTTTAAAAAATATCAGTGTGATTTTTGTATTATTTTGTAATATAATATTTTAATTTAAAAAATAAATTAAATGTGATTTTTTATTAACGTTTTGATTCGTTAATTATAACAATATTGGATTGTCAATTCATAATGTTGACGTAGTGGTCTACAGTGTTAATTTGGCAATCCATTTGTCATGTTTAATTTATCAATTTAGCCAATTTATCATATCATCCACCACATTAATATGTCACTCTAATTGTCATGTCAGTATCGTGGACTGTCACATCAACATCGTAAACTGCCACCGATGAAAAAATGTTAGTCAAATAATCACATTTGATTTATTTTTTAAGTTTGAGTACCGCATTTAAAGGAAAATAATATGTGGGTCACATTAATTTTTTTCTCAAAAGTTAGGTCACATTTGATTTATTTTCCTATTTATTATCACTAATTGTAGGTATACATATTCAAAATATAAATTATAAATACATAAATTATATTAAGAATAATACATTTTTGGGTAAATTAATTTATTATGTAAGTAAACTTCTTATTAAAAATGGTTATAATGAAATTTCAAAATAATGGATATATATTATTTTTATCTAAAATTTTTTTTTGCATATTTCTAATAAATTAATGTTGGAATTATATTGCATTAGAAATTGATTTCTAATAAATTATTGTAGGAATTCTATTTGTCAATATACATGCAACACCAAATGTGTAATATAATTTATAATAAATTACATGGTCAATTACGTATTATTCATTTAATTATTTGTACATTTTTGTTTTGGTCAAATTATTTTTATAAAGTTATATATCTAAAATTATGTTTTGTTTTGTTTTGTTTACCCATAATTAAAAAAATAACAAAATTATTGATGTGATAATTTATATTTTTTTAAAATAGCATGAGTTTGTATCATGATAACACGTCAATATCATTATTAATTTTTTAATGATGAATGGTAAAAATAAAATCAAAATGTATTGTTTAATATGATTCAGTGAAGAAATATTTAAGTGTTTGAAATAGAATCACACAAATAATTGATATAGTTAAGTGATTAAATACATAATATATCTTAAATAATATTAACTATAATACATTTTTACATATTTGTTGTTGCATAGACTTTTCATCTTTGTTGGTGTGTATTTAAAGGTGTTTTTACTCATAAACCACCCTAACAACGAAAATATTACATGTCAGACACTTTTTCTCCAAATATTACTGAATTAATACCCTTTATGATAAAAGCGCGGATCATGAAGCGCTCCTTCACGGGGTTCTATCCGAGCTAGCGCCACAGTGGAAAGGCGTATATCATAAGGCATGCCTTCCAGTGTTCTGTCTGAGCTGGCGCCACGTTTAAAGGCGTAGATCATGAAGAGCACATTCGCTGGGAAATCTGACACGTACAAGAAGGTGTGTATCATGAGGCATCCCTTCTATTATTCACCTTGAATTATTACGCACTCTATTATTACCCGAGCCTTAAGTCTCGGCTATTCACCCATCCTCCTCCCCTATAAATACCCCGAATGCAAACATCAAATCACACCAAAATTACTTTCACATTCTTCCTTCTATCAATTCCTTCTATCAAGCTACGTAGATTTTGTTATAGTTTTTAGAAGATAAAATTATTTTTTTATTATATTATATTTATTTTATATTTAATTATTTGACCAAAATTTATTGTACTAATTATTTTCTATTATTTTTTGTGATTGTAAAATGGAAAGCGAGATCATATCTCGAGACATTTTGTCGATACGGTAATAATATTAAATTATGTTATTTAAATTATTATGATTTTTATTTATTTTTTAGCATTAATTTATATTTTAATTCATATACTATTTATTTAATTAGGTATATTTCAGCTATTGTTTTTACAAATATAGGACTCTCAATCTTTCAAACCCTTAAACTCTCAAAATGAGGCGCATTTCAGCTATTGTTTACTATGATGGAGAAATTCAGAAAGATGAAACCGATGTTGTCTTCGCATCAAATCATCATGTCATAATATCCTTCAAGAAAAACAACTTTCTTGATGAGTTGATCACTAAAATTTCAAGGAAGATTCATGTTGGAAGTACTAGAAGACTGTCCTCACTTCAATATAGATTTCTAACTGCACTATTTCTGTTAACTTATACAACGTTCGAACTCTCCAACGATGACAATGTTGTTATGATGGTTGATGTTCATAATCAAAATTTAGACGCTGATACACAAATGTATGCCACACATTTGCGAATGTGTCTGCGGTTCGTAGTATGTCGTTATGCTCCCACTATGGGATGGCTCAATAAGCTGATCAAGTTGATAGCCCAACTCAAGTAATGTGTAATTATTTTAACTCGTTAATGGGAAATCCACATCCTGGTACCATCACATCAAGTTCAATGGAGAGACATTCATCAGCAACTTGTTACAATCTCCACTGAGGTGGCTCCACGAATAATCCGTATGACAACATCGCTTCCAGTTCAAGGGGAAGGCATTCATCTACCAATTTCTTTGACCTGAATATAGAGATTTTATCGATACGACAATATGTTTAGTACCCATTTGATTCCTTCAAGTTCCAGGGAGAGGCATTCAACTACGAGTTTCTTCGACCTCAATATGGAGATGCATGTGGCACAACACTCAGTTTAAAACCTATATGACACGATGCCTTCAAGTTCAAGGAAAGTCATTCAACTACCAACTTGTTCGACCTAAATATCGACATCACAGAGGAACCCTCAACTCCAACAGAGGAACCCTCATCTCCAGCAAAAAAAACTCTTCGTGAGCCAGGTGCGGATGGTGCTAAGACAAGACTATTCATTGAGCCAAAATCACCGCAGTTTGACATGAACTCTGATGATGATGATTTAGATGAAGTTCCTACAAATACGATACACACGAAACCTCCAATACATATGTATGAAGCTAACTATGGTGTAATGTACGAGCCATAATTTACGGATATGTCTAATATTTGTGATTATCTATTTCGAGGAGGATTTCTTCGTATGAGTTGCTTATCCTTGTCACTTTCATCATCATCATCATCATCATCAGTAGAAGCTACATTTTGTTGATAAGGGACAGATGAAGATGTAGAATCTCCATAGAATAAAGACCCTATAGGTGTATGACTAGCCATCCCACCACTTATGAAAACTGTAAAAATTACGAAAACATCAACATCGGTGAATGCAAAAACTGAGCTGGAGGTGTCTATGTCTCTGGTGAAGCATCACCTGCCAAATAAGCAACATATGAAGACCACACTAGATCTATAAGCATGGGAATATATCCGCCATGAGGTGTCATAAAACCCTGTGGTGGTGGCATATAAAATGATTGTGGTGGCATCAGAAATGGTTGTGGTGTCATTTGAAATTGCTGGGGTGGCATCTGAAATTGATGTATGATATAAATTGGTATAGACGGTGGTTGTTGTGATGGTTCTGGTACTATAGCCGAGGATGATCCGGAAGCGCCTACTCTTCGTCCACGAGTCGAGGGACGATGATGTTGTGACGGTGGATGCTTTTCTCAACGCTGATGAATGCTCCCGTCTCATCATTCATCGAAAAGTAGGAACAACTTTGTTGAAAACATTTTGTTGTTTCGATATAACAAATTAAGTATAAATGAATTTTAAGATTTTACAAATGATTTTCTAAGTATATTTGATTTAATTACTCGAATATCAAATTATTACTCCAAGTCTTCAAGATCAATTTCAAACTTTACTAAATGTGTAAAATTGTGTTTTATACTTAATATATTTTTGAAACAATTTTCATAAAGTATTTTGAACCAAAATCAAGCCTAAAATCAATTTTTCAAAGTGATGCATCGATGCACCATGGAATAAATTGAACATCGAATGCATTGCATGCATCGATGCACATACTATGCATCGATGCACTCAGAGTTTTATGAAAACATCGAATGCATTTGATGCATCGATGCACCAACTATGCATCGATGCACTCTGGCTATTTTGAAACATCGAATGCATTTCATGCATCGATGCACTCTCAGTGCACCGATGCACTAAGGGTCCAACGGTCAAAATATTTTAATTTTACACTTGATGCACCGATGCACCTTGGGTATGCATCGATGCACTGACGCTCCCAACTGATTTAATTAATTATTTTCACACTTAAATGGCTCTATTGACTCCACTAATCATCCCCAACGTTCAGAATCATTTGAAGGTGTATTTAAACAAGCTTAGAAGCCATTGATCAACAACAAGAAAACACAAGAAACAAGAATCAAGAGAGAGTCAAAGAGAAAGCATCAAACTTCAAGTTTGAACATTTCAAGCCTATTTTTCATTCAATATTCATTTTTCTTTCAAGAACACTACTTGTACTCAATTGTATTCATTTTTTAGTGTTCTTTTCTTTGTTCTAGAATTGTACAAACAATCTACCTTATGAGGATTTCCTTGTAAGTTTGCAAATTTATAATCTTCTCTTTGAGAAAGAGTGTTCTCAAGAATTGGGGTATATTCTTGAGGGAGTTGGAAGGTTATCTCTTTGGCCTCAAAAGAAAGAAAAAATTAATGAATTTGTTGGAAAACCCTTAGTGTGGATAGCTAAGGTAGTGGACGTATACTTTGGTTGAGAAAGTCGAACCACTCTAAATCGTTGTGCAAATCTTTTCAATTTTCTGCAAAAGCTTCCACCAAAATTTTAATTGCTAATTCACCCCCTCTTGGCTAATTCCATCGATCGATTAACTCAACAATTGGTATCAGAGCCTCACTCATTTGAAGGTTTAATCACCTCTTGAGTTGATTCGGGAAGAGTTACATCGATTATCAAGTCATCAATGGTCTCTACTTTAAATGTCGACTCCGATCTCGATTCGATGTTCGTCAACAAGCCTCCTTTCTTCAATGGAGCTAACTATGCCTATTGGAAGAATAGGATGATGTATTTCATTAAGCAAGTGACATGGGAGCATGGAATGTTGTAGAATATGGATATATCAAGCCTCTCATCATCCAAGATTATGGAGTAAAAGAGAGACAAGAATGTTCCAGCTCAACTCCAAAGCCACCCATATAATATTTGTGCTCTTGGGCCAGATGAATATGGAATAGTTTCATCATGTACAACCGCCAATGAAATAGGATAAACTACAAGTCACTCATGAAGGCACCGACGAGGTAAAAGAATCTAAAATTAGTCTTCTAACACATAGCTATGAAAATTTCAGGATGAAACCAAATAAAGATATCAAAGCTATGACGGATAGATTCTCAACGATTGTCAATGGTCTCAAATCATATGGAGAGATCATTCCAAATGAAAAGCTTGTGAGGAAGTTAGTTTACTCATTTCCAAAATTGTGGCAATCCAAGAAGACGACAATCATCGAGGCTAATAACCTAAAGTCCTTAACTCTTGAAGAGCTAATTGGTTCCCTCCTCACTCATGAAATGATGCTTGAAGATGAGGTGGACCTCGATAAGATTGACGAGACACCAAAGGAGAAGGAGAAGAAGAAAAACATTGGAGTTGCTCTCAAATCCACAAAAATAAGAGTGATTCGGATGAAGATGACGATGACGAGAAAATGGCATTGTTTGCCAAACGGTTCAGAAAAATGACGAGACCTTACCGAGGAAGAAAATTCAAACGAAATGAAGGCCTAAAAAATGAACCAAGAGAGAAGGACCCTATCATTTGCTATGAATGCAAAAAGCTGGGGCATGTCAAATATGATTGCCCATAATTGAAAAGAAAGGGTCAATCAAAGAATAAGCACAATGCTCATGTGGCTACATGGAGCGATGAAGAAGGTTCCGATGAAGAGGACTTGATGGCATTCGGGGAAGATTCTAAGGTAACCTCTAACTCATCTGAATTAGATGATTTATCTTATGTTGAGTTATTAGAGGAATATAATGGGTTGGCTTCGGATTATGAGAAACTGTTTTTAAAATATAAAAATGATGTCTCAAAATTGAAAAATGAAAATAAGCTCATATCCAAGACCAACAATGATTTTGAAAGTAAAATCAAAGATTTGCAAATCAAACTAGAAGAGTTTGAAAAGAAAAATTCGGATTTGCAAAATTTACTTTCAAAAGTCAATGATGATCATCAAAAGAAAATTGATGATCTTAAAGCTTCTTTTGATAAAGTTGGAACAAAACATTTTGAAAATGGAGAAAATTCAAAATCCAACTTTGTTAGAAAAAGTTTTAAAAACTATAATCATAGAGGTCCTTGAAGAACCTCTAATGGAAAAATCGTTAGAAGTATATGAGTTCCTAAAGGACTCATTACTACTAAAGATAAGGATATCATACACAAATGGATACCTAAGGGGACTAGGATTTTGGAAACTAATGAATATGGACCCAAACGAATTTGGGTACCAAAAATTAGAAATTAATCTATGTTTGTAGGAAAATGAGCATTGCTACAAGGCACGGGAAACAAATTCAAACTCATGGTACCTTGATAGTGGATGCTCAAGACACATGACCAGGGACAAAAGCAGGTTCATAGAGCTTAACGCCAAAAATGGAGGAGAAGTGACTTTTGGTGATAATTCAAAAAGGTCACATTAAAGGTATAGGTACAATAGGTAATACCTCTTCCATACAAATTAAAAATGTTTTATATGTGAATGGGTTAAAGCATAATCTTTTGAGTATTAGTCAATTATGTGATAAGGGATTCAATGTCATGTTTGAAACTAATGGTTGTAAAGTCATTTACATTGCATCTAATCGGATTATACTTGTTGGTCATAGAATAGGAAACATTTACATGGTGCATTTAGATTCTATTGATATTACTAATTTATGCCTAGTTGCTAAGGATGAGCATGATAGTTGGTTATGGCATAGGAGACTAGGACATGCTAGTATGAGCATTTTGCAACGGCTAATTCAAGGTGATTTAGTTCGAGGGTTGCCTAAACTAAAATTTGACAATGATAAAATATGTGATGCTTGTGCTAAAGGAAAACAAAAGTGAGTTTCTTTTAAATCCATTAACGATGTATCAACTATTAGAGTATTACAATTGATCCACTTAGATCTTTTTGGGCCATCTAGAACTACTAGCTTGGGTGGAAAACAATATGCATTTGTCTTGGTAGATGACTATTCTAGATATACTTGGGTTATATTCTTAAGTACTAAAGATGAAGCATTATAAAAATTCATCACGTTTTCAAAAGTAATCCAAAACGAAAAAGGTTACTCTATAACTAGTGTTAGGAGTGATCATGGAATTGAATTTGAAAATCTTGGATTTACTGAATTTTGTAATTCAAATGGTATTAGCCATAATTTTTTAGCACCTAGAACCTCTCAACAAAATGGAGTTGTTGAGAGGAAAAATCGAACTTTAGAAGAAATGGCTAGAACCATACTTTGTGAAAACAATTTGCTAAAATATTTTTGGGCGGAAGCCACAAATACCGCTTGTTATGTTATTAATCGAATAATGATTAGGCCTATTTTAAAGAAAACCTTTTAAAACTAAAAAGCCTAACATTAGCTATTTTCATCCTTTTGGATGTAAATGTTTTGTTTTAAACAACGGTAAAGACAATCTTGGCAAATTTGATGCTAAAAGTGATGAAGGAATTTTTCTGGGTTATTCCTTAAATTCTAAAGCTTATCGAGTATTTAATAAAAAAAACTTTGGTTGTAGAAGAGTCTATACATTTTGTTTTCGATGATAATCTCCTTCCGAGGAAGGATTCTTGTTTGAATGATGATGTAGGTGTTATAAATACAAATGATGTTAGACATGACATTGGAGAACTATCATCAAAGGAAGAAACGAAAGATGAGGAAACCCATGATCCTCTCGAGAATCCAACCATTGAAGAAAGGGAAATATCTTACCCAAGAGAGTACAACTATGTCAAGGATGGTGAAATTATAGGTGATTCATCCAAAGGGGTAACAACTCGATCTTCTCTTAGAAATATTTGTAATTATGTTGCATTTATCTCATGCATAGAGCCTAAGAATATTAAAGAAGCAATAAAAGATGAACATTGGATTATGGCTATGCAAGAAGAGTTAAATCAATTTGAGAGAAGTAAAGTTTGGACATTAGTTGAAAGGCTTAGTAATAAATCTATTGTAGGTACTAGATGGGTATTTAGGAATAAGCTTGATGAGAGTGGTAATATAGTGAGAAACAAGGCTAGACTTGTTGCTCAAGGGTATACTCAAGAAGAAGGCATAGACTATGATGAAACATATGATCCCGTAGCTAAGATGGAAGCAATTAGAATTTTATTAGCATTTGCATGCTTTCATGAATTTAAATTATATCAAATGGATGTTAAAAGTGGATTTTTAAATGGTTTTATAAAAGAAGAAATGTATGTGGAACAACCTCCAAGTTTTGAAGATTCAAAATTTCCAGATCATGTTCTTAAATTGACAAAAGCGCTTTACGGTTTAAAACAAGCTCCTAGAGCTTGGTATGAAAGATTGTCAAACTTTTTAATTAAAAAAGATTTTCAAAAGGGAAGGTTGACACTACATTGTTTTTAAAGCATAAAAGTAAAGATTTATTAGTAGTTCAAATTTATGTTGATGATATAATATTTGGTTCT